CCTCGGGTTGACCCTCCGCCGGCAGCCCGCTTCCCGGAGCTGGGCCGTGCGGGACCACGGGGTGCAGCCATTGGGAACGTGTCCCAACCGGAGGGATGGGAATTTAGTTTCCAGGCTGGGTGGGCTGGTTGCGGAGGGCGAGGGGCTGCGGCCGAAGCCTCGGGGGACCCCGCGCTGCTGCTTCCCGGGCCGGGGCCGCTGGTCCCGGGCGAGCGGGCGAGAAGAGACGGTCCTCGGGGCACCGAGGAGCTGGCAGCGGGGGGGACACCGGCGGAGACGAGGCAGGCGCTGAGCGCCGAGAGGGATGCCTACAAGTCAGGAGCTGCCATTTTGTCTCTTTTAAGTGGGTTGCCTTTCCCCTCTCCTGGAGCGCAGTGTGCGGCGACGGCAGCCCTGTCCCCCCCCTTGCCCTGTCCCTCCTGGGCCGCCCTCGGGGGAGGCAGCCCGGGGATGCCCGGGAGGTCCCCTCGGGAAAGCGCCCACCGGTTCCAACCTCCCCAGCCCCGGCGTTTTTTCCTCGCCACCTCCGCCCTAGGTGCTCGGGGTTTGCAGGCTGTTCAGCTGATTTGTTGCTAATAGCAACCACACGACAGCGATTTGCAGCCTTTTTCTGCTGCTGGTGCCTCTCGTTACACCTTCTTCTGCAGGCTGGGATCACGGCGTCCGGCTGCGGTGCGTCCCCACCCCTCTAACGGCAGCAGCCGGGGGGGGGACAATGACGGGGCGGGCGCGGGTCCCGCCGGGCATCCATCCTCCAGGCGCGGTCCTTCCAAATTTCCCTCCAGAAGAGGGAAATACTCGCTCACAGCCCCCCTTCGCCGCCGCAGCCGCGCAGGCTCCGCGGAGTTGGCATTGTCTGGCAGCATTGTTGGGAGCTGCCAGAGCCCGCAATCCTACCGGCGCGGGGGGGTTTACAGATGGAGATGCGGGCAGTGCTTAGCGCCAAACCGACACACACCCTCCCCTGGAGCAACAGACACAAAGGAAGACCTCGTTCCTTTCAAGTCTCCAGAATAAATTAAGCTCCGGCTTTCAGTTTTGGAAGGTCCCAAAAATATTTGTCTTTTTTTTTCTTTTTTTCTGTTTTTTTTTTTTTTTTTTTTTTTTTTTTTTTTTAAATGGCACTGCACAAGCGCGGACGGTTCCGCAGGAAACCAGAGGTGTAACCATATGCACGTGGTAAAAAGGGCTCAGCCCTAGCAGCTAATATTTCCTGGTCCCATCCTCCAAGTCAACCTGAGATGTTTTGCCCTTTCCCAGTTTATTTATCCCTTCTCATTTCTGTTCCATCCTTGCCTGGCGCAATGGCGACGCACCAACCTCCACCAGCCAAGTCTATACCGTTTACACGTTTCACGGTTACAAATGTCTGCTCAAATCCCAGCGTCGCCCCCTTAGGTGAAGAAAAAGGGGAAGTCCTCTCTCTAGGGCGTTTGAATCGCCTCGACGTTTCTGTCTTCGTCGCACAGAATTAACTCACTCCATAGGAAAGTCTCCGCAACTAAACTCCCTTCCAAAAATCCGCAGAGGGAACAACAGAATATTGTGAGCTGCTGGAGCCCCGAGTCAAAGCTCAGGGAAAAAGAGAGGGGACTCCCCAACGCTCCGGTCCCACTGACAGAGTTTTTTGCTAAAATCACGCAATGGCAAAGCCCAACTTAAATATGAAAATTAAATTATTCAGGGATTCAAATACAAATATACATTTTAGTAGAGGCTACAGACGGAGATTCCTCACTCAGCACACTCTCTTCGGGAGAGCATTTCAATTCCCTACAGCCCATTGACTCCCACCAACCTTTCCACGCTTAACCTCCGCGCTCTCAGGAGCCCAGCGCTTCCAACTCCGCTCCGCGGGAGGGAGCGGAGGAGTTTGCGCGTTGCTCTTCCCACCGAGGGAGCTCGGTCGCCCAAGCGCGGGATTTAAAAAAAAAAAAAAAAACAAAAAACAACAAAATCCACCGAATTTCTCTAACCCTGCAAATACCTGCTGGAAGCCCTGAACAATTTCCCAAGGCGTGTGGCGAGCGGAGGAGACCCTCCGGAGCCACGTCGGGCGACCCAGCGCGTCCCGCAGCCGCTGGGGAAGCCGCCACACCAAAACCGCGGAAAAACCTCACCTTTGAATGAGCGTCCCGCGGTTTGAAGGCGCGGAGGAGCAGCCCCAGCTTGGCCAGCATGAGGCACGGCGGGGCATGAGCCGTCGAGGGGCAGCGAGCCCGGTCCTGGAGCTGCCACCCAGCGCCTTTCCACCCGTGTTATATGTGTGTGTGTGTGTGTGTGTGTGTGTGTCCTGGGGGGGACCCGGCTGCTCCCGTGCGGGGGCTGAGCCACTTGTTGCCCCGCACCCACGGGGACGGCGGGACGGAGCCGGGAAAGCCCGTGGGAAGCCCCCCCGGCATCCTTCCCTCCCTCTCCCCCAAAGAAAACCTCCGGGAGCAACTTTGCCCTTCACCGGTTTGGGGAAAATGATGCTTCCCCGCCCCGTTACGGGCGTATTTCCGAGGGAATCAAAGGCTGAGATTACAGAACACCCACTAGAAAGCGATTGCACATTATTAATTTAGATAATTGTTGACTGTTCCCCCGGTCTCCGCTTTATTTTACAAGCTGACGTGTGCAGCAAGGCAGTCGTTACCAACACCACCCGCCTAAGGATACAAGTTTCCTACTAATGAGTGCCCCAGCAGCAGGCAATGAAGTCTCACAGCTACGTCATTTCCATAAATGATTTTCCGTCTTCAGTACTTTTGCGAGAACCGGTGACATTTCCGTAGACCGCATTTGCATGGTGTTTATTCCTCATTATTATTATTAACCATGTGAACAGACTCTCAGTATCAAGCAACGAAATGTCGCAGCAAGTTTTGGAGGGACTCAGGGTGCGTTTTGTTGTTTCACTCATCCGAACATTAGACTTAATTAGACAGATAAATCAATTTATCTGTATTCGACACATCTGCTCTTTAAAAAAACCCAAACCTCTGGAAGTAATTCATCACCGTTTGTTTATTTTTTTTTTTTAATTTAACTTAAGAACAGAAATAAGTATAAAGAAATGTGTTTAACAGCTGTTCCCTTCTCAAGTACACATGGTGACGATTTCCCAAAATATTTTCTATGGCAAACGACCTTCTCACTAATCTGATTTAATTTGTCTCATTTACTTCTAAAGAGCAGCACATCGCCTGTTTTGTTTGTTTGCTCAAAGAGATTTTTAATTTTTTTTTTCGCATTAAATACTCCTGGAAACACGTGGCTCATTTTAGACCATGATATTGTTGACGTTAGCTCTCCTCTTTTCAGTTGAGCAAACCCAGAGATGATTTATTGAAATTATACGTCTTTCTAACACTTTTCCAAACTTCTAAAATGCAGCTGAAGTAACTTCAGCCTTTCAGCTTTAAGGTGTGAGGCAAAACTTCACGCTACCTTTCAAATATCATAGTTGTATAGAGGCAGTCAGCTAATTTTGCGCACTTGGAGCTTGGCAGAACAAAATGCCAACCTGTGAAATCCTGCAGCCCCCGTGCGTTAGAGGGTGGCTACAGAAAGGGGCATTTGTTAATTGAATGATGAGCCTCTGGTTTTGTGCTGAGGGTCACCATCTCCCTTGGAGCAGCCTGATCGATAGCAGAGCTGGCTACCAACTTCGTTCTCAACTAGCCACCGCCTTAGGAATCCTGCTCAGCAGTTACCGGAGTGGGGGGGGGGTAACCCTTTCCATTCAACCCCTGATAACCCTGCTTCCATTTGGCAGCCCCACTGTTTGCTGCGGAGACCCCCCCGCGCTGCCTTTCCTCAGAGGTGCGCCCATGCCCTGGCCGACCCCTTAATTAGAGAATTAAAGGCGGAGACACCCAAGATGCGAAAAGTGGACGGCAGTCGCCAGGCGAGATACCAGAATGATACCTTGTTGAGAAAAAAAAAAAATATAAAAATATTTAAAAAATAGTGTTATAGGGCAGGGGAATAACTAGTACCCGCGCTGGGCGAAGCCAGAGGCTGCTGCCCCACCGCCCCCCACCCGTGCCCCTTCCTCCTCCGCACCTCCCCGCACGGAGAGAGGAGAAGCTCCCCCCTCTCTCCCTCTCCCCCCACCAGCAAATAATTCCCGGCGCTGCGCGGGTGGGTGCGCTCGGGCTGAGCGCGGACTCTGCGCGGGTGTCGGGAGCGCGCAAAGCCTTCCCCTCCCGCGGGGACACCACCCGCCCGGCTCCCGGCGGAGGCGTTGGGCTGGAGCCCCCCGGGCTCGCCTTTGTCCGCCCCGCGGAAGAACCGCCGCGCTGCGCGGCCGTGGGTGAGTGGGAGGCGGAGGGGAGAGCGGGGCTGCGCGGGGTGAGTTTATTCCCCGTGCGGCCCCAAAAAACTCCGGCGTGGGCCGGTGCGGCGGCGTCAAGCCCCGGCGGAGATCCCCGAGGAGGGATCGCGGTGGCGGTGAAAAGAAAAAAAAATAATTAAAAAAAGAAATTTAAAAATTAATAAAAAATAATAAAAATCAAAGGACCCTTCTCCCCGAAGAATAACGGGGCGCGGTGCGGGGCAGCTCCGGGGGCGCCCTTTTCTCTTTTAAATCCTTTTTATTAATCCTCCCCGCGCAGGGGCACCCCGCAGGAGCCCGCGTAACTTCGTGTCCGTGTACACCCCTCGCTGCATCTCCGCGCCGCTGCGCGCCTGTGTGTTTGCGGTAGAGGGGAGGCAGAGGGGCGCGGGACACCTCTCCTCTCCCCGCACACCTCTATGTCTATAGATCCCCCCCGGCCTCCCGCACCTCTACCT